TTAGTGAAAACACAGGACACAGCTTGTCTGAATTTTCTAAAAATTCATGTACAGTACTTTAAAAATTGCTTTTAGCCTTGCCCTAAAACCTGCTACAAATTGAGTCTGCATTTCAATCCTCAAATTATTTATCATAGAGACAGCCATAATGTATGACAAACGAATTTTCATTTACTTAAATCTTCTTTACAACTTAGCATCAGAAGAAATTTCTTCTCAAAAGCCCAAAAGCAAATGACACAAAGAGACAGGACAGTTACAAAACTCCTAAATCAATCTCTGGGGTTATTACTGCCTAGCCATACCTGTCCACCTCTGGCCAGCATGCTGACCCATATAGTACTTGTTGGTCGAGAGGAATTTTCCAGACAAGATCTACACTCTCCTGTGTAGGCATATTTTGAATCTTTTTTTGCAAACACATAAACTGTGTTTGTAGCCATTTTCTCCTGAGCAATCAGAACCTGTGTTAGAAACAAGAGTACCAGTAAATAACAAAAAGAGAATACTGTAAATGACAAAAGAGAATACTGAAAGCAACATTCACACCGTTTCTACTATTCCTTCAGGTGCCTTAACTTCAGAGCACTGTACAGCGTGAAGTCAATTGGTTAAACGCTATATTTTAAAAATATACACTTAAACAAAATACACAGCTAGTTAAGGTGGAATAGCCAAAACAAGAGACTTAGGGAACACTGTTGTCTGTTATTACTTACCACACCTCTGCTGGCTGTGCCAAGACATTTCATACACTGATAAAGAAAGCATTTCACTATCTGTTTTTCCAAGGCCAATGCACTACACAGGCAAATTTAAATGCCAGCTCAACAATCAAAGACAGATTTCCACCCCTCACCAAGAAGAAATATAAAATTCTAATTATTTTGCTGTGTTTGCCCAGGTTATCAGCTAGAAAATACTATCAGTTTCACTGGTGAGGCACTAAGAGGGTGTGGATAAGATTTTCTGAAGCTGGTTCTGAAGCAATGGAGGGAAGAGCCTATTCTTAAAACAAAATGCATCTATATAGCTGTGAACAAGTTGGAGGACACTCTGAGTGAGGAAGTGCCTCATTTCAGAGTGCATGCTGCTCTGCAGTGCTGGAAAGGAAATAAAAATATCTAGAGCACTTACTGGCAAACAGTTCACAAAATGCAAAGCAGTTCACAAAAATCAGAAAAGATGGAAAATGTGCTGCAAAGAAGAAAAGGTGGCTTGAGAAAGCCCTAACAGATGACTAAAAGCCCATCTTTCTGCAAGATCAGGTACCCACAGCATCTCTGGTACACTGAAATAAGTGTTTGTGCTCCTGGCAAAACACATGGAAACAAGTAACAGAACTTCCAGTGTCTGTAAAGATGGCTGTGTAAAATATATCCCTTACCTTTTCTGATCCATTAATGATGAAGTAGCCACCAGGATCAAGTGGGCACTCATTCAGCTCACAAAGATCACGGTCAGTTAAGCCATTCAGCAAACAGTATGTGGAACGCAACATGATAGGAATTTTTCCTATAAAGGTTTTCTGATGCTGGGTCTGCAATTGGTCCTCCCCTTCTTTAATAACTGTTTTAGTTATATCCACATACAAGGGGGCAGAATACCTACAGAATAAAAACACCACTGTGTTATCTGTCAGTTACTACCTTTTTGTACAACCCTAGTAATGAAGACAGTTATTCAAGCACTTACTGCTGTACTAAGCGTTATTACCAAATCATCAACCACCGTCTGCATTTAACAACTAAACATGGAAGTTTAAACAAAGTAGTAATTATTATATTTTCAAGCACTACTATATTGTAAAAGGCTATGAATTAATAAGGCAGAGACAGTTCTTCCTTGTATTTATCCACTACAGAGTTGGCTCTTACGTAAGGTTTCTCAGTCTGGCTTCATTTGGCATCATAGGTGAGGGTGCTCCATCTCTTTCCCAATGTGTAGGTTTGGAGAGATAGATTTGTTCAAACTTCAACAGATACCGGGGCTGGAAAATAAGAATATATTTACTTGTAATGGAAGAAACATCTGTCCTGTTAGCAACCAGAACTGTTACTGCAGAACAACAGCCACTACCAATAGATGAGAACACAGCAAGTTGGGTAACACCGGCTCCTAGGAAGATTCTACAGGAAAAGTAAATAAAGTAAGACTTGAGTTTTTGGAAAACAATCTGATTTTTAAAATGCACAAAAGCTTCTGACAACAGGAGGTGGCAAACCCTTGTTGGCAAATGTTTTGTAGGTCAAAAAAAATCTCAGTCTTACGTGAAGAAACACCTTTTCCTGGATTTGCAGCAACAGCTGCATGTAGTATCATTTCCCAAGTTCTCATGAAAGCAGTCTTAAGGAGAATACATTTACCATCATTCTTATCTCTGAGCATGGTTGCTAAACCCTTTCATATGCTTTAAAACTGCCTTCAAAATTTGAGATTGAGAAGCAGAGGAAGACAGAAACAAAAAAATCAAGTTTTTCCCAATACACACAGTTTCCTTAAATTAGTCCAGCACCTTCAAATGTGGTGAGAGATTGCCTGCAAGTGACTCTGAAGGAAAAAAGCAAGTTTTCTCATCTCTAAACCTGTTCCTAAAAACTTGCATTTAATAAATGAGAATAAGATACTAACTTCTGTGATTTGAGAAAGTAAAATACTAGCTTTTGGGCAAAAAGAAGCCCAGCAAAACCCATGCTTGTGACCCGAACTGTGACCAGGCACAGCACAAACATCAGCTCAAGAACCGCACAAGTATAGAATTCTGCCATAATATACACAGAATAACAGAGGAAATAATAAGAATTAGTGAGCTAAATGTTTATGAACTGTTTTCCTAGCAAAGAAACCAAAAGATATCTCAGCTATTCTCTACAGGATAGCTGTTCGCCTGCAAAAAATGCAAAGGAACAGGAAAACCATGTAACAAACTCAATGCTCTGGTGTCCTAAAGTTCCTTTAAATCTCTGGAGAGAAGCATCAAGGTAATGACTGACAACAAGACAATGTCTCATCACCATTTGCACTTATGGAACAGGGATCAGACTACACAAGGGACACAGGTGAAAGCACCAGAGCCACTGCAGAAGGTGCACACTCATTGTACAGGAGCCATCACTGGGTGCAGATTTGAGACAATGTATCCTCTTCTGAACCTGGTGCCAAGGGAAGATGAACAGCACCCTTTGAAAACCTGGACCTAACTTGAGTCAAAGCTAAGAGAGAAGCTTTTAGCCATAAACCTTTCTTGCCATGGTAAAGCTGCTGAAAAATCAAAATCTCACCAGAACACAGCTTGCTCTTGGCCACCTGACATGCTCTACTAAATCTCTGTCTGTGCAGTTGTGCACAGGAACTGACAATATGAGCTGCAGCAGCCACTTTTCTTGGTCACTTCTCAACTCTAACAGCAGGACAGGGGTTGAATAACGTAAAATGACTTTGAATTGTAAAAATACATAATCTCTGCCAAGGTTCTCCACTTACTGGCTCTTCCACTTCTCCTGAGGCATGCTGGGCTTCAGCTTGTAAATCAATTGGTGGAGCATCTTCAACAATTCTTTGCACAGACATCTGAATAAACTCATCAAAGGAATCCAACTGTTGCCTGACTAAACCCTTTTCATCAAAATAAGAACTAGGAAAAAAAAAAGTTAATAAGAAATCTCAGTTTAATTAATGTACTTCACACATCAACAAACTTAAGATATACTGATTACCAAAACTCCAAAAGCCATGAAATATAGTGCAGAATCAAACACATTCACTTAACTCAAGGCATGAGTTCCAAACACAGATGCTCTTCACAAATGTTTAACAATTCCCTCCCTGCTTGAAGACACTGACACTTTAGAGTGACAGACTTGCTGCCACCTCTTGGCTAAGCCACAACTGCATGAATAGTCAGTGCCTTAAATTTCCCTTAACTGGAAGAGAAAAGTGATGACAGACTTCACTGAAAGCGGCTTCAGCTCAAGTTTTCAATAAAACCTGTAAATTACTTTGCTTGAACTAATTTTCCAAGCTGCAGTAAACCAGGAGCATGTCCCCAAGTCCAAGTAATAGTACTCAGAACTTTTAGCTTGGATCTCCTCTGTTCCAGCCACACAGGTCCTGGATGCTCATGTTTTGCAAGAAAAAACGCCATCAAAATTGTGAAAATAACCAAGTACTGACTTCCTAATGCCAGCATCAGCTGTGAGATTAGTGGGCAAAACCATGTGCTTGACATGGAACCAAAGCCACCTCTTTCTTCACTGAAAAAGGTGTGTGCTGGGGGTCAGCAGAGCTTCTTAATTCCTGCCGACAACTCTTTCTGTAAAAGCCCTCCTGCTCTGAACGTGCTGCAGCACAGTTTAGCACATCCAAGCCTGCAGCTCCCAGACGCGTTCCCGGGAGCAAGCTGGATGTCACCTGCAAGACCGAGACCACAGGTGTCGGAGAGATAAGGACAGCGAGTTTTAGCAGGTCACCTAATAACAATCCAGCAGGCCTCTTGCCACAGGTCGGGGGTGATTTCATCATCGTCTTCATCATATTGCATATCTGTGGGGAAGCACAACGTGTGAGTTAGACTGCGGCCACCGCGGTGTTTGTTCTCCCGCGCCTAGCTCAGGGACCCTCCGGCACCCCGGCAGATCCCACCGCATCCTGCCCATCTCCCATCTCCCGGCTCCCGCGGGCCCCGGCGCGCCCAGCGCCACTCCTGGCCGAGGCGGGCGGGAGGAAAAGGCGAGGACAGGAAAGGGAAACCCCTCACCTTCGTCCGCGTCGTACATGGTGGCGGCGGGAGGAGCCGCGGGCGGCGGCGGCCGAGCGAGCGAGCGAGCGAGGGGCGAGAGGGAACGAGCGAGACCACGGCTGAGCGCGGGCCAAAGGCGGCGGGACGGCGCCTGCGCCACACGTGACGTCACGCCCGCGTCGCCCGCGAGGCGCCCGCGCGCTCGGTGACGTCAGGCGCGCGCGCCCCGCGGTGTGGCGGTAGCGGTGTGTGCGGGTCCGCTATGCTCCGCCTGGGCCCCGCGCTCCTGGCCCGCCTGGCCCGCGCCCGGCCCCGCACCCCGCTGCGGCGGTGCGGGGCGGCGGCGGCAGGCGGTGGCGAGGAGCAGGAGCGCTTCGTCTTCCTCGAGTACGAGCCGGACCCGGCTGAGAGGGCGGCGGCGGCGGCGGCGACGCTACGCCGGGAGTGGGAGCTGAAGCCGGAGCGGGAGCTGAAGCCGAAGCCGCGACGGGAGCGGCGGGCGCGGGGCGCAGCGGTGGCGGTGCCGAGCACGTCCGACCCGTCGGTGCCGCCGAGCGGCCTGAGCTGCTCGGGCTGCGGGGCCGAGCTGCAGTGCGGGGACGGCGGCGCGCCGGGCTTCGTGCCGGCCGAGAAGTACCGCAGCCTCCTGCAGTGCGAGGGCCCCGCGGGGCTGCGCGGTACCGTGTGCCAGCGGTGCTGGGCGCTGGCGCACTACGGGAGCGCCCTGCGGCTGCGGCTGCCGCCCGACGAGCACCGCCGCGTGGTGAGCGCGGCCCTGCGCCGCCCGCCGCCCCACGGCCGCGGGCCGCTGCTGCTCTACGTGCTCGACGTGATGGAGCTGCCCGACCCGGTGCTGCCGCAGCTGCCGGCGTTGCTGGGCCCCGACGTGCCCGCCTCGGGCGTGCTGGTGGTGGGCAACAAGGTGGACCTGCTGCCCGCAGACTGCCCCGGGCACCTGGGGCGGCTGCGGCAGCGGGTGGCGGCGGCCTGCGCCCGGGCCGGGCTGCGGGGAGCCGCGCTGGTGGACATCCGCCTGGTGAGCGCCAAGACCGGCTACGGCGTGGAGGGGCTGATCAGCCGGCTGCAGCGCTCCTGGAAGTGCGCCGGAGATGTCTACCTGCTGGGCGCCACCAACTCCGGCAAGTCCACGCTCTTCAACACCCTGCTGCGCTCCGACTACTGCAAGTCCCGCGCCTCCGACATCATCGACAGGGCCACCGTGTCCCCGTGGCCAGGTCAGGGCACTGCTCGACCCTTTGTAGCATGGGTAATGGGGGATGTGGGGTGCGCAGAAAACAGTGAGCTGTGGGCCTGTGGACTGCTCTTGGGCCACCCTGCAGCAGGAGAGCTTGTCACCAAAGGGGTATCTGCCACCCTGGACACCTCCGTGGCGGTCAGCAAGCTCCAGAGGTATGCTGTGCTTCAAATTGTGAGGAGTGGCTGAGGTGTTTGACCTGGACAAAATGAAGTTTGGGAGACCTTATCAATTTCTGCATCTAGCCGAAAGAAGTAGCCAACTCTTTTCCTTGGCAGCCAGTGACAGGAGAAGGGGATATAGCCTTAAGATGCATCAGGGCAGCTTTAGTTTGGACATTAGCAGGAATTTTCTTCACCGAAAGGGTGACTAGACATTGGAATGGACTGCCTAGGGAGATGATGGAGTCGTGCCTGAATGTGGCACTCATTGCCATGGTCTTGTTGATGTGGAGATGATCTCAGAGGTCTTTTCCAACTTAATTGATTCTGTGATTCCTTGGGGCAGCAGGAGTGGGATGCATGTGCTGAGGGTGCTGCACATCCTGTAGCAGAGGCTTGGTAAACCAGCATGAGTCTGTGTACACCCGTGCCAGTTAGGATGGCATCTGATGCACGTGCCTTGCCTGTCCCTGTCCATCAGAGGTGCCCTCCAGTCTGGAGAGGCCGGGAGGTGGAATGGTGAGCACTTGTAGGCCAAACCAAGCTGTCTGGAGTTGAGACTTACCTGGGGTGTACGAAGTCAGCCTTGGCAGCACTCGGCTTTAAGACCCTTTTATTCAAGCTGTAGGTGAGAACAGGTCTTAAGCTGGTGGACGGCTTGTTTTTGCTTCCCCAAGTTGCAAGGCTAGTACTTTATGGGAGCAGCTATATTTCCACCTCTGACTTTGTGTTACTGTGTTTCACCAAAAAGTTATAGAAGCAGTTTTTTTGTAATCTTGTTCCTCAGAGCTGAAATGTATCGGGTAGTCAGAGACACAAAAGTGCTTTCTGTTTGTTTTTCCAGGAACAACACTGAACCTATTAAAATTTCCAATTATTAACCCTACGTGTGACAGGATATTCCGAAGGCAGGAGAGGCTAAAAGAAGAGGCAACAAAAACAGAAGATCAGCTAAGCCCTGAAGAAAAAAAGTACCTTAATCAACTTAAAAAGCAAGGTTACCTAGTGGGTGAGTAAAGGTGTTACCTTTCTGCCTCTAATGAAAACACTGCTTTACACAAAGGTTAAGTTATTCTGACCAGTGTTTTCTCACAGATAAATGGGGCAAGACCTCCATCGGCTCCATAAACAGCATCATTAGTACTTTTGAATACCTGTCAGATGCTGTAGTAGCAGAGAGTTTCTCTGTGCAATGCATCTCCTGTCTGAACGAGGCTGGTAAATTCTGATAGCTTAGTAATTTGCAAGGATATCACAGTATGGGTCATCTCTTGTTCTCAAGTGAAGAAAATTAATTTAATTTTAAATAATCACATTTGGACTGCAGGCTACAGGGATTGTGCATTTTAGTATATATTCAAAAGAGGAGGTTACCAGAACATAGCTCTGGTTTTCAGATAATTCTGCGTGGCAATCTGAGGCACTGAAAAAAGAAGGCAGCCTGCTTTACCATAAATTGGAAATAACAAAGTGTCTGTGATCTCCCTGTTGAGATTTTGGGGCATGAGGAGCACTAAGCAAAACTCATAGAAGGGATTTCTTATAATTTTGGCTTTTGAACATACAAATTTCTAGACACATAGTGTCTTTATCACCTTTATATTACTGATGTGCATCTCTTTTAAGCCATGAAAGTGGCAGATGTTTGATTGAAGGAAAGCAAGTTAATAAGTAAATTACCAGGAAAACCTTTCATTTTAATCCAGGAAGAGTTGGAAGAACATTTCAACAGCAGAAGTCTAGTGCTGAGATTGACTTTGACCCTGACCTGCTCTCCTACAGCATGGATGAAGATCCTAAAGATCCCCCTAAGAAGCACGAGGAAAGGGAGGAGTTCACTCACAATGAAGTGAAGGATGCTCGGTGGTGTTTTGACACGCCAGGAATTGTAAAAGAAGACTGTGTAGGTACTCTGTGGTGTTGTGTTTTGGGGTGACAGGGTTTGTGAGGGCTGTTCTGTCTTAGCTGTGTCTCTGGGAGAGTGTTTTCTGCTGTAGTCCTGGCATTAGGATTCTCTTCGTTTGGGAATTGTATTAAGATAAGGTTTGTATTTACTTGAGAGGAGTTAATGTGGTAATGCTGTTGCTTTTCTGAGTAGAGCAATACTGCCAGCTTTGCAAAGGAGCTGTAGGACTGCCTCACCAAGCTTCCACAACCTCTGAAGGAAGGGAATTAAACGAGTGCTCTTAGCAAGTTCATACAGCATCACCCAATGAAGCTGGCACTTCTTTAGCTCTCCCAGCCTATGTGAAAAAGGTGGCGTTTAGGAGGATAACCAGAGTCTTATGACCAAACCACATCTTAGAGAAAGCATTCTCCTGAAGCTAGGAGGATCTACAGTGTTACTGCTACTGGCTCCAATATGTCAGGCCTTTGTCAGTAGAGCCCTACTGTAGTCAGTGCTGACAAAGTGCACATGTCCAAAACAGACATTTTTTGATTTTTGGTCTTTTTAATAGCAAAATTGCAGAACTGCAGAATTGCAGAATACCAAAGATGCAGAACTGTCGGTCATCTTTTGGGGAAGATTAAGTTGTACAGGGAGACAGGAAGGTTCTGAAGAGAATGAAGTGCAAGGACTGTGCTGAGACTTTACAGCTCATGTGCTGGTGCTGCTTTCATGAACACTGGAAGACTCCTAGTTTTCTAGTGATGTATTTGTCAGACCATAATCTGCTTTATTAAGCTGCACTTAGGTCTCTGATAGCCAGTGTAGAGACTGGCATCAGCTTAGTTCTGGTTTGGTAACTTGAGAGACTGTGTGTGTTCTTTCCCTCTTCTGGAGTTGAATACATGTGGAAAATACTTCCTGCATTCAGAAATAGTTGTTGCTGTTTCTGATCAAAGTTTCAGATCAAATTTTGTTCCTGCAGTCAATGTTCAGTCTGAGTGGAGGCCAAGCAGATTGTCTGTGGCAGATTTTGGCAGGGGAAAATCTTTCTCGCTGACTGTGTGGACCAGAATTGAACTGTTGTGTCAAATGTTCTTGACATTGCTTTAATTGGGCTTTTTCCTCTATCAATATAATGTCAATACTAACTTCATTGTTCCCGTTGAAACATCTGGAATAAGTTGTGACAATTTATTTTGCAGATTTTGAATCTCCTAACTGAGAAGGAAGTAAAGCTGGTTTTGCCATCACATGCAATTGTTCCACGGACGTTCATTCTCAAGCCAGGAATGGTCTTGTTTTTAGCAGCCTTGGGACGTATAGACTACTTAGAGGTAAGGGAAGAAAGGATTTTGGGAGCAGCTCTTTAATCTCTTACAGTACTACCAGCCATAAAAGGCTTTCTGGGTAGCTTTCCCAGACCTTTTTCTTGCTGTTTTGAAGATGATGAATCAGTTAAGGAATTACTGCATGAAGTCAGAATGCCTTGGGATGGGTAGTTGAAAGGTTTGTTACTTGTTACCAGCATGCAGTGTTACATAATGTATAATGGAAACTGCTTTTGAATGCTGACAAACATCGTCAATTTAATGTGCTTCCCATGACCTACAAAGAGGCATGAGGGAACGAGGAGAATGTCCGAATTAACTGGGAACCACGTGTTGGTGGTTTTCCTAATTTCGGTGTTTTGTGAAAGCTGTCTGCTAAGAGAGAAAAGCACAGACATTTTTCTCTCTTGGCAGACCTCTGCAGAACTTGCCCGAGGAAGCAATTAATTGCACGGGTATTTTAGTTTCTGTAAAAAATATTTTTCAAATGTGCTTGCCAATAACTTCTTCAATTTATTAAAAATCCCATGCCATACACCTTTATCAAACTGTGTGGAGTTGACCTCCCATGATGCTTCCTCTGTAAGGGGCAGTTTCTTTCATAAGATAAGACATTATCATAAGTCTTAGATCATTTTCTCAGTAGCTTGCCCTCTTTTAGGGGTGTGTATGGCTATTCCTTTGTTTCAATCTGCTTTCCAAGATCACCACAGAAATGTTGAATTAGTACTTTGCTAATGACACTCTCTACCTGCTAGAAGAAAACCAGAAAAGTAGACGAGGCAGGATTCTGTAAAGTAAAAACTGTACCAGTATGGCAGGAGCACACATTGATCTATCAGTCTTATGTATCTACATCCTCCTGAGATCTTGGAGGCCAGTTGTTATCAGATCATGACAGAAGCTCCTGCCTCAGCTTAAACCTGTGAAGGAATTCCTGCATTTTTTTCTGACTGCTGCTAGTGTTTGGAGAGGTCTCTCCCCTCTGTGACCTTGTTTGCTCTTCCTGCAAGTGTGATGAGAGTGCCTGCTGAAATTGCTCCACTGTCTCTGCACGGCTTGAGAGCAGCTGGGGCCAAGTACTGTTGAATGAGCACTGTGTGTTAGAAGTGTAGAGTGATAGGAGAAGCAGCACCAGACCAGATGTCCATCACCTCTTGTGCTGAATAACCCCACTGAGTTTGTTCTTGTGAATTAAATGAGAACAAAGATCTCTCTTGGATGATTTACCTGAGCTGAGCAGGTGTGCTGGCAGTAAATGTGGCATTGAGGGTGCTTTGAGGCAGGATGGTGAAGCTGTGGGTCTTCTCTTCTGGCATCTCAAATCCCAATTTTATATAAACCCTGGCTGCTGTCGTTGGCAGAGAGACAAGGACCTCTCAAACAGGGAGAAGGCATCAAGCAGGCAGATTTTCAACATGCGGGAGAGAGCAATTCAGGGATGATTTTCTGTTAGCATAATTAACATCCATTTGGTATTTATTTCAGGGAGAAAAGCCTGCCTGGTTTTCTGTCTTGGCTTCTAACCTCTTGCCAGTCCATGTTACTACACTGAGTAATGCAGACACTATGTATGAGAAGCATGCAGGCCAACAGTTCCTAAAGGTAAGGAGAGGTGCTGGGAGGAGCTTGTGGCTGCAGGTGGGCGGAACTGACAGGGAACATCCACGGGTGTCAGGAGTTTGGGACTTGTGCAGTGGATGAGTGGAGATGCGCGGTGTGGAGCAGTCTTGCACAGACGCATGGCAGAGCTATATTAGGAGAGAGCACTCAAGATGTGTTTTCAGCAGAGTTTCTGTTTCTAGCATTCAGGCTGATATGATTTGCAGTGCTCTGCTTACTCATACTTGGCTCTTCTTGAACAGCCTTAAAGTGCAGGCAGCAACGGGGATATTTTCCATGGCAAACCTGCAGACTGGGATTTCAGAACAGATTGCAGCTGAAAGATTTACTTTTCTTATTCTTTCCCTGCTGGATCTTCTGCACATGTCTTAATCTCTTGGTGGTCTGACGTTTTCCTTGGTATGGCGACATTCTGTGTAGCATTTTCAGATTGATGGGAGATGGGGTGAGTTGTCCCTCTCCTGGTATTTCCATTCCTGTGCACATGGAGAACAAGTGCTGTCACTCATATTAAGGCAGCTGGCCTGATCTACCAGCTGCATCCTGCAACGGGCACTCCATCTTTCCTTACCTCCCATGGGGTTCCTCTGGATGTGATCCTGACTCTGTTCTGGCAAACCTGAAATAACTCCTGGAGGTTATTCAATTCAGTTCTTAATTGGCTAACAAATATTTAATACCTTTATTCTCCCTTGTGCCTTGCTTGCCAGTTTGAAGTAGGAATCTGCTGAAGAATCTCTTGACTGTTAAATAATTTCCCTGTGTTTTAATCTTAGGTTCCCATGGGTGGGGAAGACAGAATGAAAGAGTTCCCTCCACTTGTCCCTCAGGACATTAGACTGAAAGGAATTGGTACCACTGAGGCAGTTGCAGATATCAAGCTTTCCTCTGCAGGTAATTTAATATTTCTTCATTAGTTTGCTTTGCAGGGTCTGCATCGTAGAAACATTGATGGGAAGAGGCCTCTGAAGGGGTGAAGCTGTATTTCCTGCTCAGAGCAGGACTGTCAACAGCACAAAATCATAGCAGCCATGACTTTGTCCAGCTGAAGCGTGACAGTCTCCAAGAATGGAGATTGTCAGCCATACAACATTGGAATACTTTATGCTCTGGCTGCCATACAGGTTCTACAGCATCAGGAATGGCTGTGACACTGCCAGCTGTCCAGGTGAGAGGGAAAGGGCCCTTGACTGGAAAGCTTCATTCTTGTGTTCTTGGTAGTTCCCACCATCCCTCTTAAGTTTGCCAGGAGAGAGCTGTGTCTGAGAAGAGTGGGCTTAGGTACTGCCTTCTGTTGGAAAGAGCTGGATATGACCTTTGAGCTTGGTTTCTCAAGCAACCACACGAGGGCAGCTCAGATTTTTAGCCACTCTGGGAGGCAGTAGTTTGTGTCAGAACCTTGTTTTGATCCTAGGGACTTGCCTTCCTCACTGTCCATATTCTCTCTGGCTCTGCAGGCTGGGTGGCAGTGACAGCTCACGCAGAAGAGGAATTGCAGCTCCGAGCCTACACTCCCAAGGGCACTGCCTTGGTGGTGCGGGAGCCTCCCCTTTTGCCTTACATCAGTGCCATCAGAGGGCCCAGGATTCCAGGCACTCCTGCCTATAGGACCAAAAAACCTCCTTCCTTTGTGGAAAACCTAAGGACCACGGGAAGCAGATAGCCCTTCTCATCATCTGAGCAAGGCAGAAGACAGAACAGCCCGTGAAGAACCTTGTGGCTTACTGGTATTCAGAAAATGTTGGACTCATTCTGAAAGGCCAGCAGGCACATTTTGGGAAGCAGACCTGGGGGGAACCTCCACAAGTCCACATCTGATCCAGCTGCTGAGCTGCAGCCATTTTGAATGACCTGAGGGGCTGGGACCTTGCTGTGGGGGGGGGAAACAGCTTCTCCCTTGGATCTGCATTGATGGACAGATCCCTTTACCTGTCCCCTCTTGAAATACAGGGTGGAAACTCAATGGTCCGACTTTGCTGCTCATAGAGTAGGCATGCTCCCTCATGTCAGAAATCATCACCTTGTTATTAAGGTGTTTCCATAATTAAGGGGTTGGAGAGAGTTGGAAGGAGCCAGGAATGCTCCAGTGTGTGTATGGCCCTCCTAGTGGCTGATACTGATTCAACAACATCGGCCAAAAATTGTGTCCTTTCTCTCCTTCAGCATCTGGAGCAGATTACGGTGTGTAGTATCCTGCTTTTAGACACAGGAAAAGTGATTTAATGGAAAGCAGGTCTGCTCCTGTTCCTGAAGAGGAAAGTTTTGCAATTCACTGCTTTGATTTAGTTTCTGTAGCTTGGGTACAAGTTTTTGAAACCAAGGGTATGGAATAAAACTTTTCAAAGACACTCTTTTGTTGACCTAGTTGAAAAAGCACTCTTTGTGTGGGCATAAGCATCTTGCTAAGCACATGAAAGGTCCAGTGCAATAATAAACATGCTCAATCTGCCAGACAGGCAGACTGTGAGACACATGGCCAGCCAGTCTGCTGAAAAAGAGGCAGAAAAAAGAGTATCTTCTAATCTCCTTACCATTTCACTGATGTTTTTCTCAGTCAGTGCATTGGTCCCCAGAGGCGGCTCTGCTGTCCTTGGGTCCTTGGGTGTTCTGAAGAAGCCTGGATGATCAGCAGAAATTACTGGCTCATTCAGCATCCTCTTCTCACCATTGTTGCCTGTGGGATGTATTGGCATTCCTTTAGGGAAACCTGTACCTTTGCCCTGCTTTTTGTTTCCCCCCATTTTCAGCCCACCCTCAGCATGTGGGTCTGTCCGCAGCCCCTCCTTAGGGCTGCTCTCATCCCCTATGTAAGGCTGCCAGGATCTCCCGTGGAGCCACTTTCCATGCTCTGCCACTTGCCCTCTTCCTCACCCTGCACTGCCTCCTTCCCTGCTTCCCACACTGGGATCTGGTGAGATGGGATGGGCCAAGTGGGGCCACGGTGGGTGTGAGAAGCGCTGGGTGCTGTGGGGTTTGAAGTTTGGCACTGCCTGGAGGGAATTCCTTGTCCTTGCTGGCAGCTGCCCAGTTCACCCTGTGTAGAAAATCAGTTGTTCTTTGTGAAGGTCAGTCTGCCAGTGAGCACAGGGAATGTGGTTCATGTGTGTTCAGTCTGTGTCTAGACTAGAGTTCTTCCTGTACATTAGACAAAATATGTGCACCCTCACCTTGACTTCTCAGGAAGTCTTTTCTAGTTCTTTCTAGAAGAAGAAAAACTATGGCAGCATGTTCCTCACTGCTCAGGCTGTGACAACACAGTTCTCCTGTTTTCCTTCTGTTTTTCTGTTGTGAAAGCCAGCACATGTGTGGCCACTCCTTGGGTGTGCTTGGCAAGCATCAGAGCACAGGCAGCAAGCTCCAGAATGTGTTTTTTCCAGCATGGATATATAAGACTGTAGCTGTCTTCCTGGCTGGATTTCTTTGTGCTGTTGGCAGGCCTCACATTTGGCTGCCAAAATTACTGAAGGAGTTGCCAGCAGGACTGGTGTGAGGATTATCTGTTTTAGCTGTGCTAATCTTCACAGTGCTGTGATTTTCAATTTCCCATTCACAAAGGGAAAAACCACCATCTTTTTAATGTTTAAGAACAAGATTCTAGAAACTTTTTTTTTTTTTGAGAGATTATTTTTAAAATTACTTTTGTAGTGATGGAAGAGAAGGTGTCATATTTATTTCAACTGTTGTAACACACACAGCAAACCAGCGCCTGTACAACTTCTGCCCATTCTTTTTGAGCAGGCCATGGATTTATCAGGTACTTTCCTTGACTTCCTCATAGCTAAATGGGAGAACCATGTTGCTTTGTGTATTTCTTCAAGACTGAGTATCTTGAATATTTTTATGCTGGCAAGAGGCTAAACAACTTCTTTATGTGTCTAGAAACAGCATGAACAAGTCATGTTGTTCAGTTTGTGTCTTAAGCAAGAGTACTGAGAAGAATGCAAAACAATACTGAGACAGGGACCTCTGCATCTTGAACAAATGCACCAATCCAAACTTCTTCCTGGATGATTTACGTGCATCAGATGGTGGTGAGAGAGAGAGAGTATCAAGATCTGCCACAACTGCCAGCTTAATATTGCAACCCAAAAGCAGGTGAAGGAATTGAAAGATACCAAAGTGGCACCTATTCTTTTTCATCCTTGGCTGTATGACAGGTGTGTGGATGATGTACATCATGAAAAGGGACTGGTAGACAGCACTTCCCCCCCTACACGTCAGAAGTCTGAAAGGCACTGTAGCCTTTTGGGGCAAAAGCCACAATAATTTTCTTGTGGGGATGATGCAATTCTGCAGTGCCTGAATTCAGAGCTGTACAGGCCAGAGGAGAATCCATCACTCCTGCCTGTCTAGCTTCCAGCTTAAAAGTATATTTGGTACTGATTTTCATGAAAACATCCAATGCTGAGCATAATAGTCATGAGGAGCTGCAGAGGTGAATTCCCCTGGCTCTGCCTTTTCACTTTGTAAAGTTCTCATATTTGGTGGCTTTAGTTCTTGGAGCGCTGCCTGGGGTGGTGTCACTCCACTCCCAATGTGAAACAGACTATAATTTGCACAGACTGTTCCTCATACTTTTTATAGAAGAATAAAAGTTTGGATAAGTTTCCATTAGTGAAGTGCCTGGAAAAAGAAAGGTAAAGAGATTAAGAACTTCAAACACTCAAAAAGTGAAGAGGGAAAAAGCTGGAGTAAATAGAAGAAAAAAGTAAGTAGCAGAAACTGCTTAAGACAGGACTGCATTTAGAGACAACAAGGTTTAAACTTTGTGGTCTTATGTGCAAATCTCACCACAGAAACATTTCAAAACTAGGGCCTGGACTTCGGGCCCCACAGACCTTGAAACAGTTCTAGAATGGGATACAATTGACGAATGTTATGGAAACAGAGGGAAATGTAAATAGCTACAGTTTTTTGTGGTCACTGCGCTAAAATGAGAGAGAAAGGACAGCAACACACATGGATCTCTTTAGGGAAGAAAGGCCAACTTTATTGTATGGACAGCCCATATTTAAAGCATGTTACATGGTGATAGGACAGGACAGTAGCTCATTGGACAATTGGGAAAAACATCCTTGGGACAGTACCTCAGGATGTATCCCACGGGAAAGACACCAGGTGTTAATCTTTATTATGAATTCCACTCTGTTTTTCACCATGTTATCACCCTGGGAGACTTCCTCCCTAATTGAAGCTGTAGTCAGCTTGTCAGCCTGGGAATGGACCTGAGAGTCAGGAGAAATCCGGGCCTGAAAAAGAATTTCCAAGCTGTAATTCTTTAGGTCTCTAAATGTGTGTGTTGTGGCCACAGTTTTTCTTCACAAAACTGTCAGAAATTTGTCCACAGAGATCAAATATATCTCTGTGATCTGATGTATGCCCCACAACCGAAACTACAGAAGAAAATGTACGACATTTTCTTTACGGGTACACCTGAACTCAGCAAGCAGAGATCAGAAACAATACCTTTACACGCTTACACATTTCCTAATTGAAAATAAAAATGTAACTAAAAATTAGTCCTGGTCTTTCCATGTGCACAGTAGATTGTACTGCATTTAGTCTGAAATTAAGAAACAGGTATATAGCCACATGAATTTTGAAATTTTAAATTAAGCTGTCTACAGTTATGAAAGAGAGAGGGGTTTTATTCTACACCTCTAGAACATTTGGTGTGGCTTTGGTTTATTTGTCTACAGGGATGAGAAAACCACTTCTACAGTAATATTCTATATTTGTAAAACAAGCACATTTGATTTTAGAAAAAACACTTGCAGTTTAATGAAGGAAGCCTGATATTTTTTCTAAAAGTCAAGACAGACAGAGGTTAGAAGCAGGTCCTTGAGCTTTTAAATGTCAGATTTGTCATGATCTTAATAAAATCTTGCAAATACAAAATGCGTTGTAAACATTAACAATAGGACAAGAAAATAACAATGTATCAAATAACATGCAAGAATTCTGAGAATTTGCTGAACCTCTTGCAGTTATGACAAGCAGAGGAAATAAGGGAAAAGAGAGAAAAGAAGAGAAAAAGGTGTAAAAACTTGGTATCCAAAAGAGGGAGGTTAACCTCACTGACATGCTATTCATACTTCATTACTCTAGAAGATGAGAGGACCCACAGGCAGACCTTTGAGTACGTTACTCCTTTTTGTCCAAAGAAGGGAAATGTAGAGAAGTAAAGGAAATAATATGTATTAGGAAGCATGTCAGACAGCATGCATGCGTCTAAGTCTTTCAAATTAGTGGTTTAGGTGACATACTTTTCCTGATGTGAGCTAACTGGGAAATGCAGTAAATATCTTTGATTAGAACCTACCAGGCAATGAACTGACACAGGGATTCACTGGGCAAAATTAAAGATTTATCTATAGTGATAAAAAATACCACAGATTTTAAGGTTAGAGATTTTTGGCTACAACTGCAGTGGGCAGGCATATGCTTTTAAATTTTTGCATCCAATCTTTGTGAATCCAGTGAGCATTTTAGAAACAATCATTTGACATCCATGTTACAACACACCCACTTGTTGCTGGGCTTTGTGCACTCTGGGCTCCCTCCGTGGAACTCTAGGACTTGTGGTTACATCTATGTAGGAGCTCCCAGGAATTATTTTGTGATAGTACATAATTCAACCTTTTTAAAAGAGCCTGTGACACTTTGAAATGCTGTGGTAGTCAGTACTGCTGAGTATGGAAGTCATCAATAGGAATGAGTGTTTCAGGATTGCTGGCATCCGTATGGACAAGCACTTTCAGATGAGTGAGGGAAATGGCAGACTGCCACTTGGTTTATTGTTGGCAGTCCTGTTTGAGAAACAGGAGCTGAGAAGTGGCCAGCTAAGACAGTTCACATGAAATTTCTTCAGGCTGCTCAATTTATTTAAACGTGATACTGGTAGGATACATCCTGAGGATGACCAACAGTGATGTCAGAACTTCGGCGTAAGGAAAGCTTAAGGGAATGAAATGTATGCTGTTTATTAAAAATTGTCCGATTGACCCATCTAATATCTTATAGTAAATCAATAGGGGCTCTTGTGGGATGAAACCCTCAGCAAATTAACAATGTGTAATGACCTTGATAAATGAAAACCCTGAGAGCTGAGCTAAGAATACCGAGTCATTGAGGAAACAGTGGAGATACTAATAAATGGCATTTATTAGCCTTACTCCACAAGGACTGGCAAATTCTATTTTCCCAAGCCTGCAAAAAAAGGAAAACTAAAGACAAAGAGGGTCAGGAGGAGGCTGAGGGTTGTCAGTGCCCTCTGAAAGAGGGTCATGTAGAAGGGCATGCTTAAGAAAGACACCAAAACTGCAGTAAGCCTAGAAATAAAACAACC